CCCGCCTCCCTTAGTCGTCACCCTTTACGGGCAGGGGATTAAGACCTGAGGGGAGGGTGGCTCGCCTGGGACTCTCCTCTGAGCGCACAGCGGAGCCCAGATGAACGGGTTCCTCCCGTCCTGCGCCTTCCCTGTGGCTCTCGCTCGCTCTGCCCTGCCTTTCGCACCCCCTCCTTCCTCTCTTTTTTCCCTAGTAGATCTTTCCACCCGAGGGTCAGGTTTGGTTTTCAGGCAGTGGGTGGAAGCTTTAGTTTCTCTTGTGCTTCAGCACCGGGCAGGCACCTGCGCATTGATAGACCAGTGTCTAAAAGCCGCCTGTAGGTGCCCGAGGAGAGGAGGACTGGGAAGCAAAAAAGCGGGCAGGGTTAGGGGGGGCCACCGGAAAGACCCCAGACCTGGAGCATTCTCCTTGCGAGGAAGCGCTACCGGTAATGGGGATCTTGGTAAAGAAGAAAAAAAAAGGGCTTAATAAAGGGGGGGTGCCTGGTGTAAAAAAAAAAAAAAACCAACTCTGCACAACGGGAATGGCGAGGCAACCATTGACCCCCCCAGCAGGGCCTGATGGATGAGCCCGCCGCTTCTCAAGGCGTACATCAATAATTGGGGGGGGGAAGAGAGGCACAAAGGACATCGGGGGGCCACCGTGCCAAACCGCTCATGGGTTGTGTTTATTTTTGTACAAGGTTCGTCCGTGTGGAACGTAACCGAGGGTGCTTTCTCTGCCCTTGGAAAGCAGGCCGAGAGCAGGGTGCAAAATTCCAACTGAAAGACGGGGTTTCAGGAAAGGCGTCGGAAGCCCCTTTCATTTAAACGCAGCCACCACAGGAGCCACCACAGAGGCGGGCACCAGGAGGGAGGGGGGGCCTTGTTCTGGAAGCCAACGGAATGGCCGGCCGAGTCCGGTCCTGCCCCCCCCAATCTTGGTCAGCGGCGCGTCCCACTCACCGGCCCGGAGCAAGATGACCTGGTCGTCCAGGGGCAGTTCGGAGAAGTGGGGGACCCTCTTGGCCCACTCCACCAACGTGAAGAGCTGCTTGTCGGCCGCCTGGCAGATGTTGGTGACGGGGTCGTTGGGCTGCCAAGGAGGAGAAGCCAGAGAGGGGTCGGTTGGGGGGCCAGGAGCCGAAGGGGGCGGGCAGGAGGGCACCCCACCCTGCTCCCCATCCAACCAGGGGCGGAGGCAGGGCGCGAGGGCCGACCCACCCTCGTGGGCAGCCTGGCCAGGAGCCGCGCCCGGGGAATCCCACATTCCCATCCCCTCCTCGGCCGCAATGGATCTCCTTTGTGGGAGCCTGTCCCTGATTCTCACCCACGCCCCCCGAGGGATGCACGACGCTTGGGAAGATGTTGTTAGTCCCACGGCCGTCTCAGCCGTTCCGTGCCACGCCTCATCCTCCTAATTGCCCCTGGGGTTGGATCCCTGGGGTAGGAAAGACATTCCCCCGCCCCGCCCGGCGTGCACTGATCCTCCCCGTGCACAGCCACCGATACAGGGTGGGAGTCACCGCCGCTCCTCCATCTCCGGGAGCCCAGAGGAGCCCCTGGCCTCCCTCTCTTTGGATGCAGCCGGCAGCGTCCCTCCTCCTCCCAGCCATGCGTGCTGAATTATGCAGGAAGCCACATTCAATTTGCTAAAAGAGGCCGGCAGAGAGACTGGGCCAGAAGCAGCCATTTATTTCAGCTCCATTTCCTCTCCGGGCCGCCCTCCCTCCCTCCCTCCCTCTCCCCCTCGAAAGCCTGTCGTAAGTCTCATTACATCTCTCCTGAAGTCTATTTAATCTTGATCGCTGCCAGATCGTGGGTGCCAGGAGTAACGGGAGTCCCGGATTTTTCGCTCCCTGGCCCCCCCTCCAAAGCTTTCGCTTCATGCGGGGGCCCGGGGGCTGGTCTGAGCCAGCGAGCAAGCCCTGCACTCCAGGAAGGGAAAGTTAAGGACTCCCTCGGGTCACCCAGGAAAAGACACTTTTAGCTAGTTTTGCTTTTTTTTTTAAAAAAAAAGTTTGAGGGGCTGGGATGGGCTTCAGGAAACCCCAACCTGCTTAACACAAAGCCAACCCCCCCCCCCC